AACGGATGGCTTTGCAGGGCCTCTTGGGAATGTTAATGTCTGCTGGGAGTTGAGGGACTGAGCCGAACTCATCTCAATTTCTCCTTCCATTGCTTTTTTTTCTCCAAGGCTCTATATTGTGGCATTAGTTGCCATGGCAGCAGTTGGTTTTCAGCTGTAAGGATGGCTGTCTGTATACGATTTGTTGATTCAGACACGACTGACCTCACTGTAACTACTGTTAACAGACAGACTGGTAACGCTGGAATTATTATCATTTAAAATAGTTCTGCTAGGTAGCTTGTGCTTCAGATCTGTGTGGGTGCGCCATTGTGCGTCACTGTGTGTGTGTGTGTGTGTGTGTGTGTGTGTGTGTGTGCTCAGCTGGTTTCACGAGGAGCTGTTTCATTTGGCTTAATGAGATTTTGACAAAGCTTTCCAAGACATCATTTGCCTTTCATAGCCAGTGCTACACACACACACGTGTATGTGATTATGTGTGTGTGTGTGTGTGTGTGTGTGTGTGTGTCTGTGTGTGAAGCACTGCTTAACATGTATTTGAGAGTTCAAAAACATCCTGGAAATGCATCAGCCAGAAAATATATGGAAAGTTTATTACCCAGTATTCCCTCCCACGTCACCTTTGCAGATGCTGAATGAGCGTCACGTGATGGTACGAGTTGGTGGAGGATGGGAGACCTTTATGAGTTACCTGAAGAAACATGACCCCTGCAGAGGAGGAGAAGGAGGAGGAGGAGCAGTGCTGGCAGGTAAATCTGAGGTCAGGCTCTGTAAGGACAAACCAAAGCCACCCAACTTGAACATCTCACCTGACAGTTACATGGTGGTCGGAGCCCATTATCGTGGCAAGAAGTAACTGCCTCCAGCTTCAGGTGGCAGCGGGAACTCTCACCTAATCAGAGCAAAGTGTTCAAGGTCAGTGATTGAACACAGCTGACGTCCATTTTACCTCAAGTTAAAATACAATCCAACCTTTTCTCCTTATACACAGATGTGACTGTTCTTATAGCTGTGTGAAGTACGCAACTGACTGTGATTACAAGCTTACTTAACTCTGTGTATGCCACAGTGCGTTAAGAGGCAAATAAATGGCAACAATTTTATCAATTCACTAGCTTTCACCGCTTCCTGCTGCTGCAATTTGTGCTTCAGCAGCTTTATTTTGAGCTGTAAGAAATTGCAGCGCAAATATTTTTGTCAGCGCACCATCTTTTGGATGTGCATCATTACTTTCATATATTCTTCATTGTGAAACACTCTTTCAGGAAAAGTCTTTTTGGTACTCTATGCAATAATGTGTCTGGTGTAAAGTCATTTATTTAGATTTGTGCAGTTTCTCAAGCTCACAATGTGTTTATGTTTGTTTGAACTTTTTTTTATTTTAGACATCCACATTCCTTAATCATCTGTGTATTTGAGTTTCATTGGATGTTTGCCTGTAATTAAACCTTTTTACAAAAAAAATATGTGTTTAAAATAATTTTGTTTGTGTTTAAAAAAAAATAGACTTGATTGCTATTGCAAGGACTAAATAAAAGATTTCTTAATGCTGCTTCATATTTACTTACTTCTCACGTTATTTGTATGTTTTGGGCCTTTTAACACAGATTTACTCATTCAAGTCTTTTTTTTTTTAAAAAAAAAAAAGCAAAGACACAAAATGTTAAGTTCTACCTCTAGGTGGCACCATGTCCTCAGTGACAAAAGGCCAACCGCCACCTTTGTGATTAGTTGGGGAAGTAATGTGTCAACACTGGCGCTATGATGGTGTCCTACCTTCCTGGACATTCATCTCTTACCTGGACTGTCTGTTTTCAGTTCAGCTCCAGAAAGCACCTCTACCCTACAGATTTAACAGTACAAAACATCTTGCTGCCTCAGACAGACGAGGATCGTCACATATTAAAACTTTCAAGATAAAAGTGCTTTTTTTGCCTTGTTTTTTTAAAAACAGTTAGAACGATTCACATATAGCTCTGCAACTTTGGAGGGCAGAACTACAGAGTCCCGGCACAAACACAAAGACAGAAAGCAACAACATGTTAATAATTACATGTTTTATTTCAGTAAAATAAACTAATTAAAAATGGACACACTTTTTCATATATTGAAAGAAACTAACTGTAATGAGATCATGCAAGGCTGTAATGTCTGGCTTTTGTTTTTTGTTTTTTTTTTTATCCCCACGTAACATCTGCAGTGGATGGAACCAGTATAAATGTAGAAAATAATAGCTGTGCTACTGAAATGAGAGCCACTCTTAATGGTGGCATTTTCACGGGACATCTCTCATTGCACAGAGTACTTCTCTAAGTTCCTCATGAAAGTTGGATTATACAACAATTTCCAGTATCTTGTTACACGGTGCTCATCCATCCTCTAACGTTCGTTGTTTTTTGTTTTTTTGTAATGCTTTGTAAATCTTGCTACTGTGTGCTACTGTTCTTCTGTTTTGAGTTGATGACAAAACTTCAGCTTCAAAACACAGACACTGCTTTGTGTTGGTGTTCATTGAAATTTACTATTTGAGACATGGGGGGGTGGGGGGTAGCTGTGTGCTTTCAAAATGTATCATGTGTTATCTTTTGACTGCACACATGCAGTGGTGGCAAAAGTCTAATTCCTCCCCCACCCCCACCCCCATAATACGCAAAAAAGAGTTGTGTGCAGTTGTGCTTCAGTCAGAACAACACATTGTACTTGCACCATGTACATATACATTACACTTCACTGCTTACAGTATATTACTGTGTTTCAGTTTAAGTGCAAACTTAAAACTTCATTAAAACACCACACAGCGTCGCATTCTGTCAGTTAGCAGTGTAGCGAGCATAGATATAAAAAATTTCCATATTTATAGTATGCCCTACTTTCAGATGGAAACATTTCCACATTAAGAGCCTCGGCCAATTGAACCTGACCTCACAACACTGTATAAACGCGGACTCACAACAGGGTGCTTGTTACATGCTCTGATAATCTTTTGCTCCCTCGTGTGACCTTGCAAACAAATATAGTGCCACCAGCTTAAGACTTCAAGTTCACTAAATCATGAAACGCAGCAAAGTGCAAAGATTCAACAAGACACTGGCGATACAGTTTTCTATCATGCCTCAGTTCATTTCCTCATTGATGGTGATGGTGAAATGACCAAACGTCACACACAGTGTTGTTAAGACACTATAACACCTTTTTTTTCTAAGAGAGTTAATTGACATAGCTGATAGAATATCTCATGATTCATCTCAGGCAATCAACACTTATAAAAACATCATGGCTGTAATATTCTTGTATCATGTAGTCATGGATCGTGGAGGTGGTGAGTTTTGTCCTTTTAAAATATATTACCTCTAGTGACTCAGGAACAAAAATTACAGCGTTACAAAAAAACAAAACAAAAACCAAATGGCTTTTGTGGGTTATTCTCGCCCAGTAGTGTTAACAGGGTGATAGTTTTTCCTTTTATATTTAACAGCTTGAAGTCCTACACTTTATTTTCAGACATTTTTACATTGTCCAAACCATGTTGCACACTGTGGAATATGTCATTTTCCAACTTAATACAGAAAACCTGGTGTATTTCAAATCAAAAATAAGTTTCCAAGAACGCATTCCTTAAATTTGACTTATTATGGATACTTGTCATTTCAAGTTTTCTCAGTCTAGTTATTTTCGATGTGTAAATTAAATAATTCAAACTGAATGTGTATTTGCAGTACAGCTCGAGACACATGTCTAGGCATATGTTGCTGTAGGTGCTTTGTTTCGACCTCGGATTTGGAGGTGTAAGACGAAAATGAAGAATTCCTCTGTTCCTCTCACACACAACAATGTGTAGTGTACTGTTTTGTTAGCTAGTACACAGTACATTTGCATTTTACTGGTACAAAATATATGTTTACTAAAATGATCAGTCATTGTGTGAATTCCAAGCATCACAGCCTTCAACAGGATTTTTTCTACTTATAATTTTGTTGTTGTTGTTGTTGTTTTCTAAAGATTAACATCCATATAAAAAAATTTGTAAACAACTCTTAAATTCACAATATGCATTTGATTGCTGGACAATGAGGTCCATCACAGAAATGATCTTTTATTGTGCTCCTTTCCTTATATTAAAACTAACATTGCAGGATATTAAATGATGATAGTTTGGCCTTCCACTAATGTTTGATATAGTCTGTTATTGTACTTAGTACAGATGAGAATTCTGTGTGCAGATTGTGCTTGTATTTTTAGTGGCATCACTGAAGTTGCATTTCTTTCTCTTCTAAAATTGCTTAATTCGCTTCTATTCAGAGAAAAAAAGGACTGACCAATATGAGGTTAAACAGTGGAGCAATCAAATACTTCCTCCATAGTTTGGTCTAATTTTTCTTGCTGTCAGGTTATGATTCAGCCTTCAGCAAACACACCGGTCTGTCAGATCCATGACAGTGCAGCAGATGCTGTGTTTCTTTTACTCAGATTTACCTGCTTACTTGCATTACTTTCACTTGGTAATCGACTGAACTCTGCCGGCCATCACTGCCTCTGAGCAAACAGAAAACAAATATTCAAAATCTACTTTACACAAACAATGATCTGGATCTACACTGAGATGCATTTGTACATATATAATTGTCAAAGAAGCATCAAACAATTTGCTCTTGAAGGCAAAAAATTTACTTCTGTGTATTTTATCATACTGACCGCACTGCTAGACCCAGTATAGGCTGTAGACGTGTGCCCTGGGGCTCATGTTTGATATCAGTTAGTGTGCTATACTAAAGATAGGCAATGGGCAGTCAGTGCCAAATTTTTTTCTTCTTCTTTTTTTTTTCCATTACGAACAATAACACAGCACACTTCACTCGACTGACAGAGGAATGCTGACAGGATGTTCTGGCCTGATGTTTGTTCCTTTTGCTGGATATCTCTCATGATTCATCCATAGTAATTGAGCATGTGTGGAAAGGCTGGTGTGTGTCTGTGTTTGTGTGTGTGTGTATGTGTGTCTTTGTGTCTAAGTGTGTCTCTTGTGTGGGATTGTGTGTGGCTTTATGTATTTAAGAGAGCACCATTTTATGACAATTTCTCTTCAGAGAAAACAGTCACCATTAGATCATCATAAAGTCAGCATTTCAAAAATCAAAACCAAAAAAAAAAAAGTCTTATTTGTGCTATTAGAGCCATGCCCCAGTCAAACATTGCTGTGGGTGTCACTCTTGGCCTCTACGGAGGTCCCTCGGGGATTTTCAAGATTAGGTGTGTGAAATTTGCCGTTACTTTGTTCCTTCTGTCACAACTCAGGCACACTGAACACTGAAGGGGGATGGCGATGCTGAGGGTGTTGTGAGATGGTGATCAGACAAAAACTGTTTCAGAGTTAAACATCAAGGTTGGAAGGGTGTGTTTGTGCGTTCGGTGGTTCAATCGCTTCACAACGCCCCTGTCACACGGTTCCGTTCTCCTGCCTCGGCTTGTGGATGGTTGTGCGAGCGGCAGGCGTACTCAGGGATGGAGCCAAGGTGCAGAGGAAGCCAGCCAGCAATGTGAGACCGAGGCCCCCCCAGGCACAAAACATGGACCAGCCATAGCCATGGCTAATGTCTTCAGGGAGGCCATACATGTAGCGAGGATAGCGGGATAACTCGAAGTTGATTCCTGCCACACATGTGCACAACGAGATGATGCAGCATGTTCCTGTGTGAGTGGAAGAGAACAGGACTGGTTTACATGGTTTTCGATCGATTATTGAATTTTTACATGTACTCTGCATCTTACTGCAGGATGAGAATCCTGTTACTGCAGGACATTGAACTGTTATCTCATGTTAACACAAAGGTGCTCTCAGCTGTCATCAAATAAATAAATAAAGTGAATAAAATTGGATTTTGCATGCATGCTTGTGTGTGGATGTGGGCATATGTGCTCTCACAGTACCTCCCATGAGAAAGAGTAGCCCAGCTACATATTGCATGAGGTCATGCTGCTGGCAGCATCCCAGCACTCCAATGATCCACCCGAAAAGAATGATGGACACAGCCATGCCCACAAAGCCAGCTGTCATTCTTCTTAGATCTGCAAGCAGAAACAAAAACTTCACCGAGGGAATCGTAACTTACAGACACTGA